ACATTATATTAAAGAAAAAAAATCAATATAAAATAGGATTGGAATTGCCCACTATATAACCGTTTTGTTTTGTCTCTCATGTATAAACTTACTCTATTGACATGCCATTAAAAATAGAAATGCTATTTATGTAAAGTGTCTGATTCAATTTGCATAACGTTGGGGCGTCATATATATATATATATATAAACAAATATTTTAAAGGCTTAACTCAGGTCAAGCTCCTAAAATTTTGTATTGAGTAGACTTGAATGTATTAAAATAGTAAATTTATATCTTTTAAAGTTAAAAAAGTGCAGTAAATAAAAAAAAAATTGAAATATATCTGAGTATGAAACTATATTTGACATCAAGTAACGCCTTATGTCACAAAACAAAAGAACTAGCTTGAAATTAGTTGGACTTTCATGTAAGAACCATACTTTTAAGGACATGACGACAGATGAAAAAAAAGAGCTTTATTTACGTATTAGAAACAAATGACATCATAAGTTAGATAACCTTAGAGATTCAAATTAGGCCTCACCCTCACAACCTAGGATTGGTTTGGGCTACGTATTAAAACTGGGCACATGGCCATGACTTTAAAAGAATAAAAGCGAAAGGTTAAAAAAATTAATTTACACAGGTCCAAAAACTAAGGACTTGTCTTTCATAACTGGAGTTTGAATCGTTTTACAAATAAACATGGATTATATATATATATATGTATGTACATACATACATATATTAGATACTCTTATTAAACTTCTTGTTTTAACTACGAATACACAGAGAGATGTAAAGAGAAACACAGCATTATAAGAAACCTGTATCAATAAATTTTAAAATCAGTCAAACGTCTTTCACTTAAACAATTAGTAAATCGTATATATATATATTTATTTATAAAACGTACATATATATATTCTACATCATCTATTACATATTTAAATATCTTATTGTCTATTTCTCCATCAACCAAATCCTCAAACAACTGTGTCTGAGTTTTCCATGTTTTCAAAACTATTGCTGTACATTGCAATTCCTGTTGATTGAAATTAAAACAATCCTAGTCACCCCACTCTACGTGCACTCATTGAAGCCATCCACTCAGATGTTTATTCTGTCGTAGAAAACAAAGAAATATTTTAGTAGAGAGTCACTGTTGAAAATTTTAAACTGATCACTTTCTATTCTTTTTCATTTCATTATAAACTTAAAAGATGTCGTATATTTTCCCGATTACTCTTACTATTTGTTGTTGAGCTTTGCTAACCTGCTTTTTTCAGGAAGGCGTTAAACCCGAAAACATCGTCAATGGAAACTGGTTTGGAAAACTAATGAAAATTCAGTTTATTATATTATTTTTTTTCACCGGAACTATGACGTAAAAATTCACTTTTATCTAAATAGAGATAAAAAAAAGACTGCAAATTTTGAAATTGAATTGGTAGCATCCAAGTAAATCTGACTCATTTTTAAATATACATTCTATGTTTATTTTACAGCCTTGAAAATTCATTATTTTAGTTTTTTGCTAAGGTTGGGTGTAATTAGTGAACGCTAATCTAACAGTAAAATAATACAGGGTTCAGTAGATTATGTTAAAACACTTTTAAATACACCGATCAGTAAGCCACATGATAACCACAGCATATACAAAATCGTGATATATGAGAACTACATTTTGGCGTTATTTGGTGTTACGTAGGTAGTGTGATATCACCGATTATTGATCGCTTTTGGGAAAAGTATGTAATAACCTTTTCCGATGCAAAATATTCATACCCTCTGATCATAAAAATGTGATTAAACTAGTGATTTAGAATTTCCAAGATGGGGATATCCCTTGTACTTAATTACATTGGAAAACAAAAAATAGAAATCAACTTGGGGTCCCAGGACCATCCAGAAAGAGACCTGCAACAAGTCGTACCCCAATCGTGGTAAGGTAGATTCCACGAGCTCTACCACAATAAGTCATTTCTAAGTTAACGTTATTTTAGGCCAAAAATAAAATACTTCTCATAATTTGGAAGTTAATGAGCTACGAACTTGTTTTCCTGGTTTATTTAGTTTTTAATGTATGTTGATCCCCCCCCCCCATTCAGATCGTTTTCTTAAAGCTATAACTTGTTTTGAATTTTGCGCAAAGCTACTCGAAGGTTAACTGCGCACAAGATAGAAAGCAGCTAGTTAACACCACCCACCGCCAACTCTTGGGCTACTTTTTTACCAACGAATAGTGGGATTGACCATCACATACTAACATTCCTACGGCTGAAAGAGCGAGCATATCAGGTGACGGTGTTTCAAATCCGCGACCCTTAGATTACGAGTCGAGCGCCCTAACATCCAGGCACAGCTATAGCACTGACAATATAGTTTGTTGGCAATGGGTAGAAACTCTACAGAAAATATGGCATTCTATTTCTAATTTTTTTCGATAAACTAAGTTCACTGTGGCATTCAATGTTTGATCGTTCTTTCGTTTATATAACTAATAGGTTTACAAAGCTCATATCTTACATTAAAACATTATTAACCATAGAAATTATCAAAGGCATAGTAATCCACTATATCAATTAACGAACAGAAAATACTTACGTAAACTAACCTCAACTTTGAGCCTGAAAAGACAACAATCACAGTAAAATCATCGTATCTTTTAGTTTCGACATGTGTAATGAAATTAAGCTGATATAAGATAAACATCTTTATGTATATTTAAGCAAAGAAACTAGAAGTTGGGGTGCTACTATAGAGTGCGGTCTACACAGATACTATCATCATTACCGTTTTAACTTTCGTTTACTTGCAATTGGCGTCATTCATTATAAATAACACCTTTAAACTAATAAAGTACAAAAAAAAAAACTATTACATAACATTTTGGTGGCAAATATAATCAGAATAAAATAAATTCCAATAAACTAAACTAGCACAATTATGACCTAATTTTATGGTACTCTTTTGGAACACACAACCTACTAAAATATTATTATTTGCAGAACAAAAACGTGGATAGATAAAATTATTTAGCAAGAAATTATGTTTTAGTGAGTCATTAAATCGCTGATGATGATAGTATCTTTATAGATCGCACACTATGGTAGCACCAAGTTGGGAGGAAAATAACCAACATCAACGTAAGACGGCAACAATTATTTTTAGTTTTAGATAGTCACCTGAGTATCACATAGTAATAAGATGTGACACAAGATGGCGCTGAAGACATTCTCAAAGCAAAATGTAAAGTAAAATAAAAACAAAAAAAAAGCATGTTCCTCATCACTCTATAAATTCAGTTTTTTCTTATATATTTCTTTGTTTGATGGTAAGTTACGGCCATTGTTTTATAACACTACAGTTGTACAATATTCTTTGGTTTATAATTTACTAAGTAGAGGTAAGTCTGACGAAGCAAACATCCTTTTTGAAAACTTTTAGAGCACAAGCTAAAGATTTCTGATAGAAATTGTGGTTTTATCGTCAACCCTTGCTAGATAAAGAGTTAATATTTCTAGGATTAAGTTTTAGTTACTGCTGTATCTCACTTCACCACAGATTTCTGTATAGCCTGGTGGTTATGGCGCTCGACTCGCAATGTGCGAATCGCGGTTCGAATTCTGCCACCGAACGTGATCACTCTTTCAGTCGGGTACCTTCTGATGTGATAGTAAATTCCACTATTCATTGATAATGTTTGTTTGTAGTTATGCACAAAGCTACTCAATGGGCTATCTGTGCTCTACCCACCACGGGTATCGAAACCCGGTTTCTAGCGTTGTAAGTCCGCAGACATACCACTGTGCCACTGGGGGGGGGGCACAATTGAAAAAGAGTAGGCCTAAAGTTGTTGGTGGGGGGTGTTTTTTAGCTGT